AGATTTTTGTGTACTAGAACTCATTTGAAATTTGTTGAATATGTGTAATTTACCTCAATTTGCTTGTAGACACCCATATCAAGAAATAATTAGAGGTAATTTTTAAAGCGAATTTGATATGTGCGAATCTCTCTGATTTCAGTGTAAATATTTCTTTAGCATAAATGTGGACATTCTGCGAAATTATTATAAATTTTTGCTAAGCAGAATTCATTTGAAATTGGTTACATATTAAATATATAACGCTAATTAGCATGAAGACGACCACGTATGTCTAGAAATTATTAGAGAAATTTTTTTAAATGAATTCGATTAGACTAATTCACTTTTATTTTAGAGTACGTATGTCGCTAATGTAAGTCTAGACACTTAGCGAATGTAAAATAATTTTTTCTTACATATAATTCATATGAAACTAGTAGCATAGTAAAAAATGAAAGTTGTTCAGAAAGTCTCCTACATGTGCAGTTTTAAAAAGAATTTGTACAGTCCAAATAACTCTAAGAGTAAATATGTCGTTAATATAAGGGTGGGCATTTTGCGAATTTATTATAATTTTTGCTATGCGGAATTTAGTTAAAATTATTTACATATTGAAAAGTGATCGTCAAAATGATTAAATACAACCAAGCATGTCACGAAATAATTATAGAATAGTTTCTAGTTTCAAAAGAAATATTTGAATTTGTTTAGACAAAAATGATTCGAATTTATGAGTAAGCATATCGTTTATATGAGAATGGGCACTTAGCAAATTTATTATATATTTCTGCTATCCAGAATTTAGTTGAAATTGTCTATTTATTGAAAAGTGAACTTCAATATAATACCCATACTTGTCATTAAGTATTTATTGAATGGTTTTAAAAAGTATTTGTTTCGTCCAAATCACTCTAATATAAATTAAGTATGTCGTAAGGGTGAAAAATTTGCGAATTTAGTATAATTTTTTTTTCTATGTGGAATTCAGTTGAAATTGTTAAATCGTTGAAAAGTGAATGTCAATATGCTTGAAAATAACCGAACGTCAATATGCATGAAATATTTGTCAAATAGTTCTAAAACGATTCTGTTTAGTCCAAATCACTCTAATTTGAGAGCAAGTATGTCGTTTATATATTGGTGGACAATTTGCGAATTCAGTATAATTTTTTGCTATTCGGAATTACTTAAAATTGTTAACGTGTTGAAAAGTGAACGCCAATACGCACGAAAACAACCGAACGTCAATATGCATGAAATATTTATAGAATGGTTTTAGAAACAATTTATTTTGCCTAAATCACTCTAAATTAAGAGTACGTCACTTTAGATGTATTGCTTTGAAGCATTTTCCAACCCGTCTCACATCATATTTTAATAATTTGCGATTTACGCTCCTTCTCGGCTCCAAGTACATAAAGACTAGGACAAAAGAATTTTTTTTTAAAAAAACATTTCTAAACATATTATAGCATGAGTATTTGTTTTTGGAAAATTTGACACCCATCCTTTATCTTGATATTAAAATCAAAGCTTGTTCTCACACTGGAAAATTATAAAAAAATTAATAAACTGTCCCTTACATGAACCTCTCAAATGCAGCAATTAATATAGCGATGCAAATGAAACACGGAAATGAGTTATAACTATATATAGAGTTGAACACTTTAAATGCATTGCATTGAAGCTATTTCCAACCACGTCTCACATCATATTTTAATAATTTGGGACTTACGCTCCTTCTCGGCTCCAAGTACAGAAAGAAGTTTTTTTTTTAAAAACATTCATAAACATATTATAGCATGAGTATTTGTTTTTGGAAAATATGACACCCATCCTTTATCTTGATATTAAAATTACTCTTTCTCATACTAGAAAATTATAAAAAATAAATAAACTGCCCCTTACATGAACCTCTCAAATGCAGCAATTAATATATCTATGCAAGTGAGACACGAAAAAGAGTAATAATGATATATAGAGTTGACCACTTTGAATGTATTGCTTTGAAGCTTTTTCCAACACGACTCACATCATATTTTAATAATTTGCGATTTACGCTTCTTCTCGGCTCCAAGTACAGAATGACTAGGACAAAAGAATTTTCTTTAAAAAAACATTTATAAACATATTATAGCATAAGTATATGTTTTTGGAAAATTTGACACCCATCCTTTATCTTGATATTAAAATCAAAGCTCTTTCTCATACTAGAAAATTATAAAAAATTAATAATCTGCCCCTTACATGAACCTCTAAAATGCAGCAATTAATACATCTATGCAAGTGAAACACGAAAAAGAGTAATAACTATATATAGAGTTGAACACTTTGAGTGTATTGCTTTGAAGCTTTTTCCAACACGTCTCACATCATATTTAATAATTTGCGATTTACGCTCCTTCTCGGCTCCAAGTACAGAAAGACTAGGACAAAAGAATTTTTTTTGAAAACATTTATAAACATATTATAGCATAAGTACCCTTGTGCAAATTAATTGAAACAAACTTTTTTTTTTCGTGTTTTTTAAAGAAGATGTTTTGGGGTTGTTTTGGTTACGATGGGGTTGGACCTTTTCAGCCTATTGACGGTATGATGCGTTCTGAGCAGTACATTACTATTCTGGGTAAAAAAGCTGTTCCAGAGTTGAAGAAACGATACCCTGATGGAACAGGGATTTTTCAACAGGATTTAGCTCCTTGCCATACGTCCAAAATTGTCAAGAAATTCATGTCTGAGAATCAAATTGAGACATTGGAATGGCCAGGGAACTCTCCGGATATCAACCCAATTGAGAATCTCTGGGCCATATGCAAGAATCGCCTATTAAATATGGACTGTACAACTATGGAGAAGCTAATCACGGCGTTAATTCATGTGTGGTACAAGGACACAAATATTATAAATGACTGTAAAAAATTAGTGGAATCCATGCCGAATCGTGTCCAAATGTTAATAAAGTGTCGTGAAGATCCTATTATGTACTAAAAATTTTTGAGTTTGTATAAATTTTAATAAAATAGCATTTTCTCTTAGTTTTCTGAATTTATTGAGTTTGTTTCAATTAATTTGCACAAGGGTGTATGTTTTTGGAAAATTTGACACCCATCCTTTATCTTGATATTAAAAGCTCTTTCTCATACTAGAAAATTAGAAAAAATTAATAAACTGCCCCTTACATGAACCTCTCAAATGCAGCAATTAATATATTTATGCAAGTGAAACACGAAAATGAGTTGTAACGATGTATAGAGTTGAACACTTTGAATGTATTGCTTTGAAGTTTTTTGCAATCCCGTCTCACATCATATTTTAATAATTTGCGATTTACACGCCATCTCGGCTCCAATTACAGAAAGACTAGGACAAAAGAATTTTTTAAAAAAACATTTATAAACATATTATAGCATAAGTATATGTTTTTGGAAAATTCGACACCCATCCTTTATCTTGATATTAAAATTAAAGCTCTTTCTCATACTAGAAAATTATAAAAAATTAATATACTATCCCGTTAGATGAACCTCTCAAATGCAGCTATTAATATATCTATGCAAATGAAACACGAAAATGAGTAATAACGATATATAGAGCTGAACACTTTAAATGTATTACTTTGAGGCTTTTTCCAACCCGTCTCACATCATATTTTAATAATCTGCGAGTTTCTTCTCGGCTTTAAGTACTGAAAGGCTAGGACAGCTTCGTTCCAGGAAGGAAATTAAGCATACACTGTCCACTTTAACCGATTGAAGGGCCAGGGGAGCAATATAGTGATAGGTAGTGCTTTTTCGAAAAGTGATTTTAGACTAAATTGTTCCTTAGTATTGTTTCCACTTAGAGACTCTTTAAGTTTCTGGTATACTCACAAGAGGGCAGCAAAATGGACAGAAAAATCTATTTACATCCATAGAAGATTTGAAATTTTATATCAAAAAAGCAGTCCTGCAAAATTTGAAAAATGTGCCTTATCCGTGTATTACTCCAGGATCATCAATTACACAGTATTTTCTTGGAATTCATGATAGTCAATGTTGACCGCTGGCATGCATTATGCAGCGTCTAGTTATAAATTTTAATTCAACAACGAAAAGTTTTGTAAAAAGTTATTTTAACGCCTGAAGCTTACTTAAGAGGGTCATTTCACGCAGTGGAATACTTATCTTGTAATGCTAAAAAGTTTAATTTTTCTAAATTTGATAGTACACACAAGTCATTTTCTAAAATTTGATAGTGCACACTAGTTCTGAATTCTTTTTTTTTTGTAATAAGTAAGCAGTATTAATTGATTTAGCGAATTTGTTTTTAAAAAAATATTGATAAGAATATATTAAGAAACTATTTGTTTGATATCATACGAAAAAGTGTGAAAATATGTATAAAAAAGAAGCATCACCAATTTTCCAATAAAATTTTTTTGAATAAATTTTCTCCCTCCTCTAAGCATCTCCTTAAATTAATGTAAATATTATAAATGCAGACATTTAAGTTTATCGACGCAGTAATTTTACGAAATTTGTTCCTTTTTGTGTTGATATTTGTAGTTTTTTTTAAAGCTACTAAGAGGATTAACTATTAACGAGTGGAGGAAATAGCTTTAGAAAATGCATAAATACATCTTGAATACAAACTAGAATAAAATCTGAAATTGATTTAGAATCGTTAGACCTTGATCTCTATTGTGGAGTAAAAATTAAAACATGTAATTTTTGGTCAAAATATTTGAAATGACCCCCTTAAATAATAAATATAACAAGTTCCGCATAACAAAACTTTCATCCAAATGATATCTGATCATTAACTTAGCAGAACAATTAACATCTGTTTCGAAAAAAAAAACACAAAACAAATCTTCAAACTAATGATGTTATCAAAAAGAAGAAACAAGAAAGAAAAAATAAGTCACTAACCACTGAGCAGGTGAAATTAAAATTTGGCGAGAAAATGAAAAGATCGCCTAACATCTCACTGATACACAGACCGAGTTTTCTCGGGCGGGACGTTTACTCATTGTCCCCAATGAAGGAGTTTCAAGGTCGTGGCTGCATGAAATCTGGGCTACCGCTTCCTCCAAAGCACTGATCCAAAACATAAAGTACCTTTTCTCCAACTTGCCCATCCCTTACAAACCACTGTGAAGAAGATGAAAATCAGATGTTAAATAAACATCAAATACAAATCATCTTCTTCAATCTTCGTGAAATGGGATATTTAAGATAGACTGCCAATTTAGGCTTGTTTAGATGGTTTCGGGATTATCGTCGAATTGCATTGTGGATTAATTTGTGAAAGCTAATTTAATGAAAGTGGCGGATTATTTGTGGGAGTGCATGCCCGTTTGGGGTATGAACCTGCAAATATGACACCTAAGGATTTGCCAACTAGGGGATCTAAATATCTGTGCAATCATCTGCGGAATAGTGTGTTGAATCCGAAATTATTAGGAAGGTCAGTTGTTTATTTTTACTAAAATTAGTCCTTTATTTACACAATTTATTTTTTCATCATTATAATTTTTTTAAAAAATTTTAATTTATTTTACATTTAAGTCACACATTTTGAATAGGCAATAGTATATTTATTTTAAAATAAACATATATGATTAAATGAGATAATCACTTAATTAACCACTTATTCATATCTGCCAGGCATTCTATAAATTACTGTATATCATTAAATAGTAATAAATGGATAGTTATTATTATTTTTATATTTTTGAATTACCTACACCAGTGTTTCCCAAAGTGTAGTACGCGTACCCCAAGGGGTACGGGAACAGTTTAGCGGGGGTACGCGTACCCCCAGAGGTACGGGAACAGTTTGGCGGGGGTACGCGTTCTTATGCGAAATATCTTGCAACAAACGAAAATTTCAAAACATTTTATTTAAAAACAAAGCCAGCCATGGAAATTTACGATTAAGTATTTTTCTTTTACTATTTTTTGCAGAGTTAACAGTTAATAATTACTGTATCAACCGTCAGTTGTGATTTTTAACTCTTGTGCAATTTTTTTTATAGCAAAAGTTTGTAATAAATTATACTTATTTTGATTATTTTAATAAAATATAATTTTCATCCTTAACATAGATTTTTTTTACCAAAATTGAAGATTTTTTTACAGAAAACTTTGTACCAAAAAAGAAAAGTAAACATATTTTTAAAAAAATACATTCGTATTTTCATTAGTGGTACACAGCGTTACGAAAAATTTAGAAAGGGTACACAAAAGTCACAAGTTTGGGAAACACTGACGTACACTAATCTGAAATACATTATATAATATACATTAATGTAATGTACATACATTAATATAATATAAAATACGTTATGGATATTACCTATAATTGGATATTATTAATGAGTATATTAAATGGATTGATCATTTTATCAACTAGTTACTCATGTCATAAATTAAATTACTAAACTGTATGGTTTTTTAATATATTTTTTTAACTAAAAATTAATGATTTGTTTAAAAGTTAAAGTAGCAATGTATCAGATTCAAACTGATGTTTTACTGTTTCTGGACAATAATGGTTTAGCAGTTTCAAAAAAATTTATATGTGCTGAATGAATTAAATTTATATAATTTTGCATTTAAAAAAGCACTCTCTATGCAAGAATAAAAAAAAGATATTAAATAAATCGAACGTTTTGTAGTGTATAATAAATTGATTAAAATTATTATGATAGATAAAAAACATATTTTCACTTTTCATTAATTTTTAATGTTTTTAAGTTTTAGCTTATTGGAGGCAAAAAATAAATTTTATGATTAATTAAATGTATTTGTTAAAAATACAATGTAAATATTTTTAAGCAATGAATGTAATCATTAGTTTCGGAATACCGTATGAATAAATTTTAAGCCCTGGTTGAGTTAATGAAATATGTATGCAACACTTAAAAAATATTTATTCATTTTCTAAAAATGTTGTCTCTTATAAAATATTTTTTCAAGCACTATTTAATAAAAATACAGTTATAAAATAACCAAATTGTTTTATTAAAATACATTCTATCTCATTCAATTGAAATAAAGATTGAAATAAACTAGGTTCATGAAGTAGTAAAAGATCTTAAGCCACCTTTTCTCATATAAAAAAGTATAAAATACGCTTTATTTAAAAACGCGTGTCGTAAAACAATCAAAATATGGTCGCTTATTTTTATTAGGTTTTTTAAAGTATTTATCTGTATGGGCTTTTTTCATCTAAAATGTTTTTTTCAAGCACCATTAAAAAAATAAAGTTATGAAATAACTAAAATGTTTTATGAAAATGATTTCTACCTAATTTAAACAAAATAAAAATTTAAATAAACTAGGTTCATGACATAGTAAAAGATCTAAATGTGCCTTTTTTCTTATGAAAGTGTTGTTTCAACTATTCTCGCTTAAAACAACATTTTATAAAACAAATCAAGATACGTGTTTTAATTAGGTCTTGAAATCTATGCATAAATAATATTGCTTCAGTAAAAACGAAGTTATAAAACTACCAAACTGTTTTTTCAAAATTCATTTTATCTAATCCAAGCAAGATAAATTTCGAAATGTAAAGAATAATGAAAAATTTTTGTAACTTCTGAAAGCAATAAAACTTTTATCTATAAACTTAATGAGTAAAATATTTAAAAAGGGAAATAATACACCTTTCAGGAGAAAAGCATTTAATCTTATTGATTAAGTCTTAAAGTTTTACTTATGGCAGCTATAGTCAAGAAAGAAATATTTGAAAGCATAAACTAAAATTTATGAGACAACGAAGCAGTTTTGCGAGTACTTACTATCCGAAATGTTTTTGTTTCACCTTTCTTCCTTTAATAGTAAAACATGAAAAAGGATATAATTTAAGGAGAAGAAATTGTAAATTTTTCAGTTAAATTTTTTAATTTTTTATTTCTGCTGTTTATCGGTTTACTTAACTACCCTCACAGTCGAGAATTGTTAAATCCAAAAACAAAAATTTGTACGTTTCTTATTTCGAAGTTGTCATGCGTATGCATTTTGCTTAAGATTTTTATAAGTGATATTAAAATAAAAGGGATGGGTTTTAAAAAGGAGCAGAATTTTCTTTTTCTTTTTTTATTAGGATTTAAAATTCACGAAGCATCATTCGCAGGACCTAATTACATAATTGTTTGAAATATTAATACACGATGGTGCACTGAGAAAAAGTATGGTCAAAACTACTAAAATATGGTAAAATTTACAGAGTTTTTGGCTCTGTTGGAACGCCAAAAATCTCAGTAAATTTTACTTAAACGCTTTGGTAATGATTATGGGAAAATTGACAATAAAATATAGTTTTCTAATGTGAGATAAAATTTGGTAAATGTGGTCAAATTTAGAAATTTATCAAAATACCTTAGAGCTTGAAATTCATTTATACGGTTGAATTTACTTTTCAGCTGTGCATTTTTTACTAAATATGTGGTAATAAGAACTATAAGTTTGTATGCCAGAATTTAAGGTAAACCGTTATATAAATAGAAAAATTACCAACCAAATGGTTTAATGTTTTGGTTTTTATTATAAGAATTAAGTTTTTATTTTATTAATTTTTACTTTTTACCAGAAATATCATAAGTTTGTATGTCAGAATTTAAGGTAAACCGTTATATAAATAGAAAAATTACTAACCAAATGGTTTAATGTTTTGGTTTTTATTATAAGAATAAAGTTTTTATTTTATTAATTTTTACTTTTTACCAGAAATATCATTACCAAACTTTACCAAAATTTTTCTCCCGTCTGGTCAAAATCACTTCAGATTAAATTTTAATAATGTAAATTTATGCTTTGCCATTTTATTGTCAGTTTAATAAACTAAACCAATTTAAAGACAAAATGCCATTACCCCTCTTTACTTATATTGAAAATTTTAAATAAGTAAATAAATGCCTGAAAAAACATTTAGCTATTAATATATTAGCGAACTAAACTGTGAATAACTTGATATTATTATGTAAATGAGGTGGAAATAAAAATATTTCAGTGAAGTTTGTAAGATTTGTATCAATTTTATTTTATTTTAAATTTATATTTATACTATAGACAGAAAACATTAATGCTTTCATATTATGCTCTTTAACAATGTAAAATTATGTAAGAAATAAAAGTTCTAGAAGCATACTTTCGAAAATAATGCAGAAATTTGATTTTAATAAGTAAAACATTATTTTTTTTTGTAGCAATAAGTGTAGTAAGTTATTATCGCTCTTCCTAGTTTGTACTTTCATAATGGGAAATGAAATGAAAGATAAAATTATAGTTATAAAAGCATATTTTTGAAAAAAATGGATAAACATTTGTTTACAATTTGTAGTTTGTGATATAATAGGGCATTAATAATTTCATATTTTGTTCTCTTATAAAATGTAATGCAGTAAAACTTAATATTGCAGTTAGAAAAAGCATATTTTCATTAAATGCATAAAGATTTATTTCTTTTCACTTTTTTTAATTTTCTCTCCTCTTTTTTAATAATTAGTTTAGGAGTTAGAATTTGAATTTAGGTAAGATATTCATTTATCACTTAATTAGATAATTTAAACAAGAAAAGCTAGACTTCCCTCATTAGCTGCTGAAATAGATCTAATTCAGAGCTCAAGAATCTGGAACCCATTTAAGTTTTCTCACTATAAACTAGATTGTGCTTCTTTAAATCTGTTTTTTTATCTTTAATGAGATAAAAAAAATTGGGTGCCATAAAACTGACTTACAGTAGACATAAGGTATCCAAGTATTAAGTATTCTTATTGAAAGTGCACAACGATTGCAAATCTATATCGAGTTTAATACCATTTCTGCCCTTCCGCAGTCTTAAAATAAGCTTTACCAAGGTAGGGAAAATTCACCTTTATAATGTAATTTAATAATTACAATAATGATACTCTTTTTTTTTTTACCAAATTTTGTTTTTTGCCATTTTTTCAAAATATGCTTTTCACGCATTTGATCCGATATGAGAATAGAATACCAAAAAAGAAGAATGTTTTTATTATTAATTCTGTAATTTATCACATTGCATTTTGAAAATTCTGTGAAATGTCTATAAGAAATGATTCATTCACGATACATAATTTGAATAAGGGTAAAGATGATAATAATAATTAATAATGATCGGTTAATGCCAAAATTCTCTTAAATTTAGCATTTGATATTCGAAAAAGCAATCCTTATTTATGAGCATTTTTTAAATTTTTTTTTTTAAAAAACACGAGATTTTTTTAAAAATTCCAATTTGTTCGAAAATTATCGCAATTTTAAGACTTTTTTTTGCAATTTATTTTTGTTTTAAGAATGCGGATAAAAAAAAAATCTGGTTGAATTACCGCATTCTAAGGTAATGGCATTTTTAATGAAAAAAAACAAACATAATTCTGGTTAATAACACCAAATTGTTTATTTAAGGCATTCGTCTCTTTTATATGACAATGGTTT